GGGGGACGAAGCAGCCTACAGGAGGGAGGTGGCCGGTCTGGTGTCATGGTGCAAGGACAATAATCTCAGCCTCAAAAAGGTCTCTCATGATCTTGTGATTATAGGTTACAAAAGTTTATTAAGTAAATTTAACAGATATTTCGTTGTATCTCTCCTCATTTAGTTCAGGAATATGATCTCGTTAAAGTGCATTCAACCTGTGAGGGTTTGTGACATCTACTTGCCATTGAAATGTGCTTGCATTTATTAAATCAGAGAAGGTGGACTAGGATCATAAAGGAGACTTGGATTGGTATCTGTGCTGTGCTGATTTTGACCTTATCAAATAATGTATCAGTTAGATCTGTCCAGTTTATATTATTATATTGACCTTATCAAATAATGTTAGATCTGTCCAGTTTATATTATTATATAGTCATCAGGCTGCTGAGTTAGTTTTTAGTCCCATATTACCTTACAGTACATAAAAATTATCACAGTGAATTCCATGTAGTGACACATAGAGATTTTATTTTTGCAAAAAAAGAAACACCACTAGTATGGAATCAGTTCAGTCATATCCTTAGCTGAGGTACTGGAACTGGTATTAGGAGAGAAAAGGTTGCATCTGTGCATCCCTGCGTTATTCTTATTTGTGACAAAATGGCAAAAATCCTTAAAGTCACTGTGATTCTAGACTTGTTACTGACCAGTTCTTGAATTTACGATTGTGAAAATCAGCAGTGCTGATTCTTATTTAAACATGTATATTTTCAGCCTAATATAGGATCCCAGTAATACCAAACATTTGCCAGAGCTAACGCTGTATTGGTGTGTAGCTAGTGGCTCCGTGATTATCTCTCCTCTCTCTCAAAATTCGAAACTGCTTAATTTAACACTACGGCAGTCCCAGGTGGAGTCAGCGAACTCTAGTCCCTGCTACTCCCAGTAAAAAAAGCACAACAAAATTAATATGCACATTTCTTGTATTTACATTTACTGCTCATCTCAGGGATCATATTTTGCTCCAACTGTTGCTTATCAGAAACTTTTGATATTCACCTCCTCCTGTTTGCCTGGCAACCAGACACCAGAGGTCATTTCAGAAAACAGGGCAAATCTGCAACATCTTAATTAGGCTCAACTCTCTTCTCTGTAGAAACATCAATTTGTGAACTACACTGGTGAAATGGTTGTATTTTACAAAAATAACCTTAGTTCATAAGTACAACTTGTAACAGAATTTATAATTTGAAGTCTTTGTTTAAAATTCTTTCCCCTTTTTCAGTATTCCTGCCATTTTTTTTTTTTTTTTTTTGCTCCTACAAGTATCATCTTCATTCCTCTGCTCTTCTTTCTTCATCCTTTTCTCTCTCCTTTCACTCCAGTCTCTACTGCAGCTGCTTTTCTGTGCCTTTCCTAATTTCTGCTTGTTACAAAACAATCCTCTCAGTTCTTTCGTCATTTTCAAAACTCAAACTTTTTATCTCATGTTTCTTCTCTCTCAGTTTGTCCCATTCAGGGACTATATTGACCGGACTGGAAACCACATCCTGAGCATGGCGCGGCTCGCCAAAGACGTCTTGGCTGAGATTCCTGACCAGTTCCTCTCCTACATGAGGACCCGTGGGATTAAGCCGTTGCCGGCACCACCTCCCTACACACCACCGGGCCAACCAATCCACACCCAGATATGAGGAGCAAGGAGGAGAAAGGTTTTGGAGTCAGGGGTTAGTTTATCTGACATAGTGCGTGAAATACTTCCATTTACTTAAAACCACTCTCCATGCCCTTTTTGTCATGGATCACAGTGGTCTTTATCGTGTTCAGGAAGCTGCATGTCGGGCCAGGAGAGTGACACTTTTGTGGACAGGAAAAGCCAACAAGAGTCTGTTTACTTCCACTGTCAAACATTTCTGTTACTGTCTGGATTTTAATTTCACCTGGGAAAACTTGGAGAGGCTTTTAAAGCGAGTGAACTGAAACTTAGAATGATCTAATTTGGTTGAGGGAAGCAAGGAAAGAAAAAAGAAATAAGAAAGCATCCTTTTGAAAAAACTGAAAAAGAGAAGGTCACCAGACAAAACAAAGGAATCATTTGATCTTACATGAACACTATCTTTTCCTGTAAATAACTGGACGTATGTAACTTCTTTCTTTGTCTCTCTTCAACTCACTCACTGTTTACAGGAAATGCTAACAAGAACTTTTAGTGTTGATACTTTAATCTCTCTCTCTCTTTCTTTCTCCTGGCATGTGTGTCAGGTAGCAGCAGTGCAGGTCCTGGTAGCCCTTCTGCACCGTACTGTACCGTGCCGTACTGTACCGTACTGTACTCTGGTGTTTCTATTAACCTTTTGCATGAGTGTAGCCTCAGTCAAGTGCATACATATAGTGGCCCTGCACTACCTCTTCTTACCCATCTTTCTGTGTGTGTGTGTGGAGGGTGAATGTCTGTCTGCCTGTTTCTTCATTTGGCATTTCACTGGCATTGCTCTCAGGACTAAGAAGTATTTCGATCTCCCTGTTAAAGCTTTACATCCTGTCTGTCTGATTATCTAGGCTTTTTTGGCCCGGAGGAACGTTTTTATAGTTCTTAAAACACCTGGTAGAAGAACCCCTTTTTTTGTGTTTCCACACTTCAGGAACTGAGGATGATCATAGTTCTGAGAAGGTTGTTTTGAGCGACTTTGTTAGCTCCTACATCAGGGTAGGTACTCTCCCAGCACAGTAGGAACCAGGAGTGACAAAAGTGTATATTGATTGGTTGAACACTGAGCCACTGCAGCATCGGCAACTGACCTTTTTAAAAAATTGTGTAGCCATGTAAACAGTTACAAGGAACAGCCATCGCCAGTGGCACGGTGAGCTGCAGTCTGCCAACAGAAGCCTTTGCAGAAGGTTAGTGGCTCCCAGAGTCAGCGCCAGGACAGATTACATAAGGGGCAACAGATTTTCAAACACATACGCCATCACACATACAGTATTAAACACAGGCAATTGCCACAACTGGCTGCAGCACTGCAAGGTAACACTGTTGCTCAGCAAGCCTAATCACACAGACTACTGAACAAAAGACATCCAAAGGAACATGGGCCACTGCATGAATGCATCCACAGAGTTAACAGTAAGAGGCTGTAAAATACATGGACATCATTCATTGCCCATTGCAGCCTCTAGAATTAGCCTAGAAATAGCCTTGACTAGCATTTATCAGAACAAACGCAGTAAAACTACACAAGACTGATAAATTAAATATGCTAGAACACATACATACAGTAGTAGTTATTTTAACCCACTGACCCCACTCAGGTCTTCACATGGCGCTGTGACTGGTGACTCCTTGTATACTTCACTTTGCTAATATATAATATAACGCTAATGTTGGTATGTGTTAAACATTGCAAGCCTGTTGGCTTATCACTGACCATCGACCAGCTTACATCGCTTCAGCGGTCCTACTGGTGCTGCAAATGCAAATAGAAAAACAGCTCTGGAAGGACGCTCAGGGCAGTTCCCCAGTGGGGGAGTCCCTACAATAGGTCCAAAAGCACCTCTCACTCTTTCTTTTCTTTATTTTATGGCTCTGTCCCTTTTACTAGCTGTGTATCCATCCAACCATTTTTTTCTTTGCTTTTTTTTTAGATTTTGAATGCAAAATACAACATATTTTGGTTCACTTGACAGAAACAGATCAGTTCAGAGATTAATATATAAGCATTTACTGGTTTTACAATGTGCATTTGTTGCATCTTAGGGGAAACAATGAAATATGGACAAAATTAACAAACTTTTAATTCTTTTTTTTTTTTTTTTTTTACATTTCAAAGGTTATTTTGCTCGTCCTCATTAGGATAATAGAGATTCAAATCTTGCAATTTAGATTTTTCAGTAGCTAAAACATTTGCATAGCATTTATTGATTGTTGAATGGAAATATGGTTACTCCATCTCTGTCTCTGTGTCGCTATCTCTCTCCTTCAAACTGTCTTGGCAGTAAGATGCCCAGATGCCCTGGGGTGTCATCTCATTGTGTCGTCTAACACTCATATCCCATCCCCACATTTAAAACAACAGCAGCTGCTCTCAAACAGATAACTGTTTGAGCATAAAGAGCCCAGTGGTCAAAAATGCAGAGAAAAAACACTTTCCATTTTTGCTTTTTGCTCCATTTTATATTTTTGATGTGTTATTTTTACTTTAGCTTTAGCTTGGATATAGCTTTTTGTTTGTTTTTATATGTACCAATGACATGTAAAAGGAGGATTTGTGCAATTTCTGTTTGTTACTGATGTTTCCAGTTTAATGGAAAATAATGAATGAGAGAATCTGTTGTAATGAAAGTGATGATAACGCTAATGTGAATGAAATGCGTGTTGTATGAAACTATTTCTTTAAAAACGTAACATAACTTGAGCTAGAATGTGTGCAAAGTCTTACAACAAATGAGGATACAGGAACACTGTAGTAAGTAAATGACATTGCAACACCAATAATATGAAAAGTGATGGTAACTCTTACAGTATTTTTTAAAATAGTTTGCTTCATGTTACCAAAACCCAAGTGACAAGCATTTGTTTATAGTGAACCTGATAGTTTGAAGTGTTGCAGTTGATTTCTTCACCTCTGTCAAATTAAACCAGACAGTGTCAAAATCAGTAAACAGTAAACAAAAGTTGTGGCTCAGAGTTGTTTTGCTAAATTGACACAAGAAAAAAGACACCAGAGACTCTGATCATGCAAAGTAAATCATCACCAAATGGTTACATTCATATGATGTACATCTTGTACACTGGAGAGTGAGCAAACATGATTATTTCTAACATTTTTACACAGTTTGAATATCTTACATGCCTGTTCATCTTTCCTTTCTCACAGTCTCCCCACACCTTGCTACTGTAGCAGAGCACCAATTTCGGGGGACTAAATGTCTTTGCTTAGTAGGTGCAGTCACACTCCTGCAGCCACCCACTGCATTCAAAGCGTAGCTGGACACATCATTAGGACTGCAGGTCAGAATAAGGAACTCACCGCTTCTTTAGCAGATATACTGGAAAACTGGAAAACTCACATCCTCCAAGATGTTAGTGATCCAGGGGGTTTATAGCTTCCTGGTTTTTCTTAATATTTTCTTCATGTTAGTTCTTGGTGACCATTTAGCATGAATGCCTTCAGGTGGAGACATATCATTGTATATGAAGATAAAAGTGACAATTATAGCAAAATGCTGAAGGAAAGCTATGCTTTACTATTTCTTATGTCAATTATGATAACATTGTACTCATCAAAGTATTTAACCTTAATTTGTTTTAAATGATATTTTAACAGTAGCATGGCAGTGCAAGGTAGCTCTATTTATATAGCACATTTCATAAACAGAGGCAATTCAAAGTGCTATATATAAGCAAAGAAAAGCAGTAACAACATTAAAAGCAACAAGCACTAAAAACGGAATAAAATCCGTTAAGACAAAATTAAACATTGGTAAAATGAGACAAAATACATAAAATGAAAAGGTCTGAAACACAATTATTTACTGGTTACAATAAGTTGCCTTGAATGCAACAGATGAAACAAAAGCACAAGTAGAAAGAGTCATAAAATCAGCAGTCAGTAATGTCAGTTACACATTAATATTTATCTAGCTAACAATTACTAAGATAATGCTCATACCATGCCAACTAAACCTAGATAAGCCGCAGAAGCAAAACCTCTGACTGAATTAAGCTGATCAAGTGTGAATTTTATTGCTTATGGACTCGTGCCATGTTTTTTCTTTCACTGTGTTACAGCCTCTCACTTTACAGATGAAAACATATCTCACCAGAAATTATGCTACATAGGGAGAAAGGTAAAGGTCAGTTTACCTATCATTTTGGCAACTTCCATATTGCTTCAAGCCATTTTGAGTGTTTTAATTGCCTGGCCAGATTCAAACCCAGGACACTGCTGTCACATGATGAACATACCGTACAAGAAGCCTACAGGATGCTCCTGTCATGTGATTTGAAGAGCAAACTACCTCCTGTTTCTAGTCATGCATTCTTTCAGTGTTTCTTAGGTTTCAAAATGTATTCATTTGATAATATTTGTTATTTTGGCTTTCCTTCCTTCCATATCTACTGTACATACACAACCATACATACATTATTGCCATAATCACTACTGCCAATTACTTTGTACTGCTCTGTTTTAGGTGGACAAATATACATACACACATACACACAGACATACTGTATACAGTGGGGCAAATAAGTAATTGATACAATGCTGATTTTTCAAGTTTTCCCACTTACAAAGAATGGACAGATCGGTAATTTTCATCGTAGGTACACCTCAACTGTGAGAGACAGAATCTACAAAAAAATTCCAGAAAATCACATTGTTAGATTTTTTAATTATTTATTTCCATTTTATTGCATGAAATAAGTATTTGATACAATAGAAAAATAGAACGTAATATTTGGTACCGAAACCTTTGTTTACAATTACAGAGGTCAAACGTGTCCTGTAGTTCTTGACCAAGTTTGCACACACTGCAGCAGGGATTTTGGCCCACTCCTCCATACAGGTCTTCTCCAGATCTTTCAGGTTTTGGGGCTGTCGCTGAGCAACATGGAGTTTCAGCTCCCTCCATAGATCTTCTATTGGGTTCAGGTC